GCGATTAATGGTTCTAACAACCATGGCCATGGCTACCATTACACCAGGCCAAAAACTGAACAATTGAGGAAACTGACAACTACACTTAACATTACGAATGCCCCATGATATTATATTGTTATTCTACAAATGGCAGCCATGGTTAAAGATTATGGAGGCCTCCAACCTGAAACAAGCATTTTTCAATGGTTCTAACAGCCATGGCCATGGCTATCATTTCACCAGGCCAGAAACTGAACAATTGGGCAAATTAACAGGCACACCTAACTTTAGAAAGGCAGGATAACATTACATGTTGTTTCTGATAATCCCAGCCATGGCTAAAATTTCTGGAGGCCTCAAAACCTGAAACAGGTATTTCTAGGTTTCACAGCCAAAGGTGAAAATGCATGAGGCTATTGTTTGAAAGAGGTAATTAACTGCAACCTGTATACCTTTTCAAATGTGACTGTTAGTGGTTTATCAAGACTGAAGATCAGAGCTTGATTTTTTTTAACATAGGTAGAAAAATGTTGAGACTAATTCTACATTAACCCTCATGAATTTAATCTTTTTAAAGGCGGTACCTTATTAACTCTTCCACAGAAGTGTTTGTTTCTATATCGAGGTTCTATAATTCATGTCTAATCTCCAGAAAATTGTTTACCTTTTATGAATGTATGTCATTACTCATCTTACCCAATCATTGTAAAATCTTTTTAAACTTAAATGTTAGAGTAACCTTCAGCATTGTTAATGTCCTTTTGGTAGTAACATGTATAAATAAATCTGACCAACAGCATCTGCCAATCCTCCTTGGCAAATATGAGTGTAACTGTTGTGGTGAGGAACTATATGGTTCTTTGAGTTGACTTACTGCTGGAGGATACTTCCTGCAGGTGAATTTGGCCTGGCTGAACATTCCTTCTTGTTTTCTGTGTCTTTGCTGTTCTGTTTTTTGATCAATGTTATCATAGAACCCTGCTGGCTGCAACCTGAATCTTTTGTGGTCTGAGATGTAGGAGTAAATGCCTTTGAAAGCAAAGATATACAAGAACAAATAACCAACTGATGTGGAAATTAAAGTCCCAGAAAAATGATTTTACAAATAGGCTTTTATATGCTTTATCCTATCAAGAAAATAAAATTCCTCCTTGGAATTTATTCAATTTCAAAAATTGGGCATGACCAAAAGTTTACTTTACTCCCTAGGAATAATAGGCTCAGGACTCACAGATATTTTAATCCTAAGAATATGGGTCATGGCCAAGATAGAGCCAACAAGTATTTTAGTCCTTTTAAGAATATGGCCTTGCCTAAAATTTCCTTGGGCCCCAAGAGTTGACCTTACCTCCAGAAAGAGCGGCCAGGTCCTGAGGACTGAGGTAATTTAGGTCAGCTTTTACCTGCTGGACAGTTTTAGCCATTTTAATAGGACATGGGTGAGGTGTTCCTGAGGCCCCACACGCGATTTACGTCTTTTAAGAACATGGCCCTCGACTGAAATTGCCTCGGGCCCCAAGAGGTGACCTTATCCCCAGAGAGCGAGGTATTTTATCTGTCTTTTTCCTGAGTTACCTGCGGTAGATTTCAGCCCTTCGAACGGGCACGGGCACCACTACCTGAGCACACACACCCCTTTTCCTTTCTGAGACAGCCAACCTCGCTGAGGCTACCCCAGAGCGAGCGCCAAAGGCGACCTCACTGAGCAGGACTGAGCGCGGCACCGCTTTCCCGCTCTTTCGAGGAACGTGGCCACCACCCCGCTTGTGAGCCCGGGCGGCTTTTTAGGCTTCCCCGCCTTCCCGGGGCGGAGCGGGGATGTTCAGCCAATCAGTGAGCCTACGCCGCTTTCAGGTCAGCCAATCACTTTTGCTGCTCAGTGGGGCCCGGGCCATTGCCGTGGAGACGGTGGCCCACCGAACGGTGCACGGCAGGCTCCACCCGGACGGCTGCGCAGGGAGGGGGCGGGCGTCGGGCCGCTTTTTTGGCGGGACGCCCCCCCGCCGCACATTTT